ACAGCATTCTGTGCAACTTTGGCATTGAGTCATGCCGGCCACATGACCATGGAGACGTCTTCGGACAACGCTGGCTCTTTGGCTTTGAAACAGAGATGAGCACCGCCCCCTAGAGTCGGGAACGACTAGCACATATGTGCGAGGGGAACCTTTACCTATCACTGAAGATCATTCTTTCATCTAGTACCCCATTATGTATGCTGCTAAAGATCTTGATCAGAAATATTTCCTATTAAATGGAAAGCCAATAGATAATGGCCATTATTTTAAATGGAACTTGTAACCTACAAATATGAGTTCCACCTCTCAACCATGGTCTTTTTTCTCATACTACTATGATATATATGTCTGGAAACATTTGATTCTGTGATGCAGTCCTATATGGCCCTACACATGAATTCCATAATATCTAAGGGATTTTGTACAATTGATACAACACACAAGAAGCAGAAGGCTTTTTCTGCATCCTAATTCCAAATAAAGATAACATTTTCTGAATGTGACTTAATGACTTAAACTTAATTAACATTAAATTCCGCACATGGCTTATAGCTGAAAATACACAAAACAACAATTTAATCCATCAACTTGGATCCAGGACATAGGCAGCAAATCATCAGTCTAAATGCAAATCGCAATTATTTTCTTGATTAAATTCCCTTATTGGTCCCTTACTGGTCCCTTATTGTTGAACCAAAAAAGGACTACATTTTACGAAAAGCTACAGCTTAGCAATTAATTTTATGGTTTCTTCTCTGAACGTCAGAGCTTGGGTTACTAAATGTCTTCAGTTACTGGGTCTTATACATAAAGAATGTAAATATCTGGGTTTGGAAAAGTGACGTAATGGAGTCACTGGTATGGAATGCCTAAGCAGGGGGTTGGACTATAAGACCTCCAAGGTCCCTTCCAACTCTGCTGTTCTATTCTATTCTATTCTATTCTATTCTATTCTATTCTATTCTATTCTATTCTATTCTATTCTATTCTACTCTACTCTACTCTACTCTACTCTACTCTACGCTATTCTATTCTATTCTATTCTACTCTACTCTACTCTACTCTACTCTATTCTACTCTACTCTACTCTACGCTATTCTATTCTATTCTATTCTACTCTATTCTATTCTACTCTACTCTACTCTACTCTAGTCTACACTATTCTATTCTATTCTATTCTATTCTATTCTATTCTATTCTATTCTATTCTATTCTACTCTATTCTATTCTATTCTATTCTTCTATTCTACTCTACTCAACTCTTCTCTTCTATTCTACTCTACTCTACTCTATTCTACTCTACTCTACGCTATTCTATTCTATTCTATTCTATTCTACTCTACTCTACTCTACTCTACTCTACTCTACTCTATTCTACTCTATTCTATTCTACTCTACTCTACTCTATAGTCTACGCTATTCTATTCTATTCTATTCTATTCTATTCTATTCTATTCTACTCTACTCTACTCTACTCTACTCTACTCTATTCTATTCTATTCTTCTATTCTACTCTACTCTACTCAACTATTCTATTCTATTCTATTCTATTCTATTCTATTCTATTCTATTCTATTCTATTCTATCTTTCCAATCTACCAGTTGTCTGTTGAAAATACAAATCAAATTGAATCTGGTTTTCTTTAGTCTATTCTCAGGATGTGATTATCTACAGATGGCCCTCAACTTACAATAGTTTATTTAGTGACCATTCAAGGTTACAATGGCACTGAAAAAAGGGATTTATGACCGTTTTTCACAATAGCAACCGTTGTAGCATCCCCATGGTCACACGATCAAAATCCGGATGCTTGGCAACTGAGTCATATTTATGAAGGTGGCAGAGTTCTGGGATCACGTGATCCCCTTTTGTGACCTTCAAAGCCAGATTCACTTTACACCTGTGTTACTAGCTTGACAACTGCAATGATTCACTTAACAACTGTGGCAAGAAATGCCTTTGTGACGTGACCATGTTTCACACTTACAACCTTTGCAGCATCCCCGTGATCAGGTGATCGAAATTCAAATGCTTGGTTCGCACTTATGACCGTTGCTGTGTTCCAAAGACATGTGATCAACCTTTTAAAACCTTCTGACATTAATCTGACAAGCAAATTCAATGGGGAAGCCAGGTTCATTTAATAACCATTTTACTAACTTAACAACTGCAGCGATTCACTTAGCAACTGTGGCAAGCGATGTCGTAAAATGGGGAAAATTCACTTAACAAATATTTTGCTTAGCAACAGAAATGTTGAGCAAAATTAAGTCCATAGGTCCTACCTGTACTAGAATGATAACTATCTCTCTGAGCCAAAAATTATCCATACTCCAGATGGGTTTGATTACCGGACATAGAATACAGGCCCATAAATACTGACTAGTTAAAATGTAATTAATTGGAAGCAAGTCATGCAGAATTGCAATCACCGGATTTTTTTTTTTCCTTTGTTTTCAGTCCTTTTTACTCAGCAACTAGCCTGGTGTTCGAATTTTTTTTAGATAGTATACTTTTCTTTTTCATGTGACGTTTCACCTGATGATCCTGACAGCAGTTTCCATCCTGGGATTTTCTTTAAGAAGGAATTTGTAGGCCAAGTTAACAGTTCTGTCAACAACCTTCACTGGAAATAAATCAGCCAGTTTGGTTTTAGATAAAATAAATGATTTCCTGACTCTGTCTAAACACACTTTTGGTCTTTCCAACATAAAACAATATATAGTTACAGAAGAAGCCAGAAACTAATGAACAGCTTTTCCCTCTTCATGAAATGCACCATTTTTCATCAAGCATAAATAGTCCATTAACTTTTACCAAGGTAACAAGGAACATTTCAAATTAAACTACTTAATATGTATAGGGGTTACTGCTCTGTGTGCCTCAAAATTTAATCAGTATTTGTTGTACCTACAGCCAATTTTCTTAGTTTGAAAAAAGATTCTTATCTTTCAATATTAATTTGGGGGAAAAAATAGCTTTTAACAACATGTACAAAAGCGAATGGAGTTCACAAAATGATCCTTGTTCTTAAAACTTTGAGAGTTTTTCTTCTTGTTTTATACTTCTTCCCAGTGATAGGATTCAGCCAGTTCGCACCATTTCAGGAGAACCGGTTGTTAACTTTCTAAGCAGTTTGGTGAACTGGTTGTTGGAAGAAATCATTAGGGCAGAGAACCGGTTGTTAAATTATTTGAACCCCACCACTGCTTCTCCCCCATATCTTCATTGGGAAAAACTGGGGTGGGGGTGGGTGGGATGTACACATTACATAGCCAATCAAAACTTGTCATGTGTTTGGCCAAAATAACAGAAAAACATAAAGAAATCTCCCATTTCAATTATTATTTTACCCTATTCCTCATTTTTTACTAACTCCAGTTTTGGAGGCAAGTACTAGAAAAACGATGCTCAAGAAGGAAGATAGAAAATGCTGTGTGATGATGAAATTTTTCCATTATATGGAAATTAAAATACAGGATCTAAAGCAAGGGGGGCATTGAATTTGGGACCTTTGGCCCTCCCACTCCATATATTATCCAGCAAACTGGACTGGCAAACTATTCATTCATCAAAATGCAATTTTTCACTGTTTTTTTTGTTTTTTTTTGTCCAAACAAAATCTATGGAAAACTCTTCAGATGGATTTCATAGAGATAAATATTTTTAAAACCCTCACCTAGGGGGAAAAAATAACCTGGACTCCAAACTATCAATTTACAAGAGAACCAAGCTAGAACTGAGGAGACATTTCTTGACAGTTAAAACAAGTCACCAGTGGAATTGGTTGCCTCCAGAAGCTGTGGGTGCTCCATCACTGGAGGCTTTTGAGAAGAGGTTAGACATTCATTTGACTGAAATGCTACAGGTGTGGGGGCAGGAAGTCAGAGTTGGCTATCTGTCAGGTTTCGATATTGTCTCACATAAAATAAATTGCATTTCCAAACAGATAGTCTTTGAAGAAATCTTTCATTTTATTTAACACAACAATCTGGCCCCGATCATGGCGTAGCCAACTCTGACTTCCTGCCCCCACACCCTCCCTTTCCGTTCCCCAAATCTCTGCGTCTCATTGGCCTTCTTCCAAATCACTCTCCCCATATCTACTACTTAAGTTCCCAGGAATGTCCCCCTCCCTCTCATCTCCTAGGGGATATTATCTTCAAAGAAAATAAGTAGGTGAAGTGTCAAGCATCCTCTTGCCAGCTGCCCCCTCTTCTCCTTCTTATGTCAGCACTAGAGTAAATGCAGGTTGAAGTGCTGACAACAGGGTTTCCTGCTTGAGCAGGGAGTTGGACTAGATGATCTCTTTCAACTCTTTTATTCTGTTATTATCAGGAGGTCATTATAGCAATCCCTGCAACCAACCACCAAAAGATTGTTTTGTGGTTCTGAAATTGCATTTCCATAAGCAAGGCTGAAGCTTGAAAGTTTGATAAAGTAAAGCAGCTTATAATAATTATAGCTGGGGTTACAATGGCAGCGGTTGATTTATTTTCACTGAAACAAAGCCGTAAGTGAGCACTGTATCTGGAAAAGGTCATCCATTTTTGGTCCTCTATATCTCTTCCAATCTCTTCAGTCTTCAATCCGTGTTCCTTGGTTTTTCCATTCTCTGTGATGTTCTTACATGCAGCCTAGTCTGGAAACAATAGAAGAAAAAGCACTGGTCCCTGGGAGATGTAGTTTGATATAGAGGAAACAGTGAAAGGGATTTGGCCCTGAACCTAGAATAATTTAATGACTGATATATCTATTTCTGTAGCCATTACATTAGAAAGACAAACTTGTTTGTACTGAACATAGGGTTCAGTTGCATGACATAGCAAACATTTTGCTAATTATCTTGAGTGTTTAATTCTAGAGGCTCCAAGGAGACTGAAGGATTTCAGGTTTCCTTCCAACTTCCACAAATCTATGTTTTTATGAAGAATGTGTCATATTTTAACATCCTGGTTCAGTGAGTGATCACAGCTGATCTTTCATCAGTCATAGAATATCATAGCAACAGAACTGGCCTCAGAGGACAATCTTTTGAATCCTTGTAAATCTTTGAAGGTTCAAATCGACATCTTCTACCTGCAAGATCATATAGACTCCTATAAGTGGCTGAATTATGGGTGATAAAGTGCAACGTCAACTAAGTTGGGGATGTTATTCCAGATAAAAAGAAGGTACAAACAAAATTGGTCATAACAACATCACTAGGTTATGTCAGAATGTCATCTAAGCCAACATTCAGCATCATCCATAGCCAATCGGATGCATTTCAGTTTCAGTCTTAAACATGAAGGTGACACATATCTTCTATCGTCACTTCCTAGCAGCAAGTACATGCGCTATCCACATTAAGAACATAGTGTACAGCCATTGAAAATCCAGGTCTTTCTGAGTTTGTCTAGCCTCCCTTTTAATCCTCTAGATTGACGATCATTAGAAATTTCAAAAGTAACAAATTCCATCATTTTAATTATTATGTAAAATGAATACTCCTATATTTCATTTTTTCTTATCTGTTGTTTCTCTGGATGAGCCTGATTTCTAACATTGAGAAAAATGTTAGATTAAATTTATCTCTCTATATATTTTGTACTCCATGCAGAATTCTTTAAATTTCTATCATGCCCTCTTATCTCACTCTGAAAGCTTTTAAAGGTCCACGAGTGTGTCAGTTTTCCTTCTTCAAGAAGTACTCTAAACCCATCACATCCTGTATTTTTTTTAGCACTTAAAGGCTGTGCCCTGGAGAAATATGATTAACAACAGCTCTTGAGGATTTCAGTAATCCTTGAAGGTGATGCTGAAGACTGAAACTAAGGCTTTTATCATAGCAAAGATGTGCTCTGTAAGTGATCTGTAACCCTTGCTCAAAATCTATATATGCGAGTTTGTGAGTTAGAGTTTGTGTCTATGAATAAAAGAATAAAAGAATGGATTGGAAGGGACCTTGGAGGTCTTCTAGTCCAACCCCCTGCTCAGCTCAGGCAGGAAATCCTATACCATTTCAAACAAATGACTGTCCAATCTTTTTTTAAAAAAAAAACAACCTCCAGTATTGGAGCACCCACAACTTCAGGAGGCAAGTCATTCCACTGACTAATTATTCTGTCAGGAAATTTCTCATTAGTTCTAGGTTGCTTCTTTCCTTGAGTTTCCATCCATTGCTTCTTGTTCTGCCTTCAGGTGCTTTGGAAAATAAGTTGACCCCCCCCCCTCTTCTTTGTGGCAGCTCCTTAGATGTTAGAACACTGCTATCATGTCTCCCCTAATCCTTCTTTTCATTAAACTAGACATACCCAATTCCTGCAACCGTTCTTCATATGTTGTAACCTCCAGTCCCCAATCATCTTTGTTGCTCTTCTCTGTACTCTTTTTAGAATCTCAGCATCTTTTTGTATTGTGGAACCCAAAACTGGATTTAATATTCCAGGTGTGGTCTTACCAAGGCATTATCAAGTGATACTAGCACTTCACGTGATCTTGTTTCTATCCCTCTGTTAATACAACCTAGGACTGCAAATGTATATGACTCCCAAGTCAATATATTTCTAGTGAAATTGATTTCACAATCTCCTGTCCTATTCCAATTTATTCTCAGGGGATTTTAAAAGTTATTATTATACTAAAAATGTGTTTCCAGAATGCATGGGGATCCAGATATGGCAGTTTTATAGCTAAAAACTGTGATTCCAAGGATTTTCTGGGAAACTTCCACAACACTTTAAAATCAAGTCTGAAAAAAATAAAGAGTTCTTGGAAGAAGAAAACAAAATTCTGGAGTGTTTTAGGACACAGAGTTGAAGAAAGTTAGGACTGATTGCCCGACATTATCTCTCTCCATTCCTTAAATACCATTAATTAAACCTTATCATCCCACAGAGCACTTAAATCACATTTACCCATATGCATTTTCTCTTTTATGCTTCAGGGTTATATGATTTTTAATCTAACAGTGTATGTATATATATATATATATATATATATATATATATATATATATATATATATATATATTTAAAGAAAGTAAGCTTAACACTTTTTTTTACTTTGATATATTGTTTGTGGTAGAACAATCCTTATTCTAATGTATGATTGATAAATGTTTACATTTGAGCACTCTCATGCAGAAGACATTTGATCATCTTGGGGCTTGCTCAACAGATATATAGATGACAGAAGAATACAAGGAGTTCTTGACTTACGACCATAACTGAGTCCTAAGTCAAGGCATCATGTGACCAGATCTGAAATTACCACTTTTTATTATTGTTAAGCAAATGCCATGGTCATTAAATGAAAGCATTTTCCTCAAATGACAATTTATTTTCCAGAAGTAAATGCCGGAAACTGGCAAAAAAAAAAAAAAAAAAACCATTGCAGATATCGTGGGATACTTCAAACGGTCATACAGGGGAACCAAGACCCAACAATGCAGTTACATGAAATGGGATGGGGACAATGTAGCTCTGAAAATGGGTCATGTGTAATCCTGGGGAGGTTCATTATAACTTTAAGCAGTTGTTAAGTGACCAGTCATAAGTCAAGGACCACTGTCCTGAGAATAAACCCTCCATCTCCTTTTTTGCACTCATGTCACAAGCACTGAGGCACTAGCCTATGACATCCCTGTTGCCCTGGAAACACCCAGTTTGGGGCAGAATGGTTTTATGTAACACTGGGCAGGAAGTTAGCGAGCCCACGTTGGAGATCCTTTTATGTCTCCAGCAGGAGCTGGAATGAAGGGTGAGAGCTCAACCCTGCCCCACGGCAGCTCTCGGGTCTCGAACGTGGACTCGTGAACTTCCTGCCCAGTGGTTCCATCCACTTGAGCCATTGTGCAAAAACGGCTTTCTCTCTGCTGATTCTTACTTTCTTTCTTGCTGTAAATTGTTACATAAAACCGTTCTCAACCTTCTAAGTAGAGAGTTAAGAATGATTAATGCATACGTGCCAGTGTGGAATGGAGAAACTGTGAACATTCATCTCTTTTCCTTTCGACAATTTCCTCTCCCATGTATCTTTATTCACAACTAAGACTCATTACATCCGATGGGACTTTCTCTGAGGTGATTTGGCAGATTTAATGGAGTGTTCTAAAAAAAAATGGCTGCTTTGGTAAAAAAGCAGGTAACAGAGGTCAGACCAAAATTGTAGAAGTAGTTAATGTTTTTTTTTCCCCTTTCTCATCTGGGTTAAGGTCATTTTCCTTGTCTAATCCAAAAGTGCAGTTCCCTATGTGATTTAATGGAGAACGTATTTCTATTTTGTAGGCCTCATGGGGGAAATTATCTGAAATGCCTCATGCCGTAACACAGAAGCTCTTAATAAGTCAAAATATGTTGCTATTGTGAATTTAATGAGCATTTCCTCTCCCTGCTGGCATTTTTAGAGGAGAATTTGAATGCTACTCAGGTGGGAAAGCCTGTTTCTGTTATTTTGTTTTTCATGAAATAATAATGTGCAATTATTAAAGAAAAGAAAGGATAGTCCAGGATGATTAGAAAAAGAAATCAACTAAATAAATAAACAGAGGAGGAAAGAGAAGAAAAAGAGACACAGCAACAAGTCACTACAAAGCTCAAATCTTCATGTGGATGTCACCATACTTGGCTGTAATGACCAGGAAAAATTCACGTGTCATAGCCAAAATCTCTGGTTGTGCTATAAACAGAAGTGGTGTTTCTCTAAATTAAAGCACCTGTTGTGGTTTGCATATTGGAGAAAAACCAGAAAGATTATAAGCCACACATTTTGCCTAAGAACACTGAGAAAAGAAAAAGCATTAAAAAAAATCTCAATCAATTTCAGAAAAGATTATTTACTTTTAATAAAAAGAAACTGTGAAATTATCTTGGGTGGAGTATGCATTTATTCAGTTATGAGATAACCAAAGGTCTGCAATAATTTTTCAGTAGAATAAAAGGAGAGAGGAGAGGAGAGGAGAGGAGAGGAGAGGAGAGGAGAGGAGAGGAGAGGAAAGGAAAGGAAAGGAAAGGAAAGGAAAGGAAAGGAAAGGAAAGGAAAGGGGAAGAGAGGAGAGGAGGGGAGGGGAGGGGAAGGGAAGGGAAGGGAAGGGAAGGAAAGGAAAGGAAAGGAAAGGAAAGGAAAGGAAAGGAAAGGAAAGGAAAGGAAAGGAAAGGAAAGGAGGAGGAGGGAAGGGAAGGAGAGGAGAGGGGAGGAGGGGAGGGGAGGGGAGGGGAGGGGAAGGGAAGGGAAGGGAAGGGAAGGAAAGGGAAGGGAAGGGAAGGGAAGGGAAGGAAAGGAAAGGGAAGGAAAGGAAAGGAAAGGAAAGGAAAGGAAAGGAAAAGAAAGGAAAGGGAAGGAAAGGAAAGGAAAGGAAAGGAAGGGAAGGGAAGGGAAGGGAAGGGAAGGGAAGGGAAGGGAAGGGAAGGGAAGGGAAGGGAAGGGAAGGGAAGGGAAGGGAAGGGAAGGGAAGGGAAGGAATTATCATTTCCATCCTTCTTTCTATTAAGTAATTATAATATTCCCCTCCCTTCCCCTTTAACCATTCTTATCTACAATCTATAAATTTCAGTCTTCCATATAAGGTTTCTACTCTTTTTAAAACATAACGTTTTTTTCCCAATTTGGATCCTCACACTTCAAGAAAATCCTAACATTGGTATCATGACTGAACTTCTCTATTGTGATTTTTAGATTGTAAACAGTGACAAAATGATGGAAAAATGTGCAACAGAAAAGGGACCCTCGACCATTTTGTTACCAATGAAGTAAGTTCAAAAACACCACCAAGAGAAATTTAATAGACAATCTCAAGCAGCCTAAAACTAAAAAGGAAAACAGAACCTTCCATCACAGGGTATAAAACATTGAGAAATTCAAGACATGGCATCAGTTTCAACTTTGGCGCATTTGTGCCAATGTTTTTCATTGGTACTATGCAATCAAAAGAGAACAGCATGGCTCTAACAATACAACACAGCCCAAGTTAATAAAAATCCTGTCTATGTCAGTTTTGGTTGTATTCAGTCCTAAATGTATTCCATCTGTCCGTGAAATTAACAAGAAAACATGTGCATCCTTTTTTCTATGTATCTACCCAAATATGTGCAAAAGAA